CCCACAGAGCTACCTCATTATTCTGGGCCCTTTATTTTACCAGAAAGTTATTAGCACTTTGACAAAAGATCATTTGTTGTTATTAAGTGCATCTTGTCAGGTCCAACCCATAGTGACATTGTATAGGGTTTCAGAGGAGCGGCTGGTGAGCTTGAACTGCCAACCTTGAGTTTCAAACTGACTTTGCAGTCCAGCGCATCAACTCACAGTACCACACGAGGACTCCATTAAAGCAGGCTTAATGCCAGCATAAGTCCTTGGGTGGTATAAATAGTTAATCACTTGACTACTAACTGTTTGGTACAGACCTACCCAGAAACACCTTGGAAGAAAGACCTGGTGATCTGCTTCTGAAAGGTCACACTATTGAAAATCCACTGTGTAGCTCTATTGTGTGCACATGGGGTGCAGTGAGTGGGAATCAATGAATTAGGTACAGACACTGATGTTAGGACAGGAATAACCCACTTTTATAAGAGAATAATTGATTGAGTAAAAATGTCAAATGAGAAATAGTTTAGCAGCAGTAATGGCTAGAAGGACTTGAGGGACTTAAGTCCAATGGAACCTCATTGCTTTTGTTTGTGTGAAGTGCCTGACAAATGTGAAGCTCCTCCATTCAGCTGACAGAATAAGAATTATTCTTTCCACTTGGGGCCCAACACCGACTTCCAGCTCTGTTACAGAATTTTATAGTCAGTCTTGGTTAGCATCCTTTAAAAATGAAATTGGTCGTCTGGAACATAAGGAAAGGCTTGAATTCATGCCCTATTTCTATTGAAAAGCTGAAGAAATGAGGGATCCCAAGGAGGTCTGGAAGCGTAACAGCTAAGAGTCAGATCAGAACAACAGCCGTTCTGTGGGAGAAAGATAAGGTTTTCTGCTCCTGTAAAGATTTACAGCCTCAGAAACCCCATTCAGGGAGCTGTGGATCAGAACCAACTCCACGGTACATCATCACCACCACCACAAGGTGTGCATAGGTTGCCTCAGGTTTCATAGCTGGCATATGATACAACTCAGTGTTCATTCTAATTCTCATTCTTGTGACTTCTAGCATCCCCTCAAGCTCCCGGACTCTAAATAAAAAACCTTGCTGATCTAGAAACTTCTGCTAGCTGTGTTAAGTTCTCTCTTCACTAATGAAGGAGACTGCTTTAGCTTCTAATGAAGACAAACTATATGTAATAAAAGTATTAAAGTAGATTCCCTTTTACTCTCAAAGCTGATTTAAAAATGTTCAACCACTCCTATCTCTTCCTCTTGATTACTTGAGTCTTGTTTGCTCTTACAGTCCCAGCTTCAGGCCCTCAGTGAGCCTGCTACTACCATCTGATTTGTGTTTTCCTGCTTTCCTTCAGTCTTCTTGAGTTCTTTAGCTTTCCTCCATTCATTGGTTGTCTTGTTCATTCATTTACAAATGAATGTACCTACTCCTCTCCAGGCAGTACTTTAAGTGCTAGGATATCACAGAGAACAAAGCAGTAGAAGAATTGACCTATGGATCTTACTGTGCAAGGAAACAGACCAAAAAAAATACATAAATGCAGGTAAGGATCTGTGAGCCTATTCCTGACCAATGCATCACATGTACACTTGCCATGTATGGAGGCATATGTGTTGCTATGATACTGAGCCTGTTTAGCCTAGCTTCCAGATTAAGGCAGACTAGGAAGAAAGTTCTAGTGATTGGTTTCTGAAAACAAGCCAATGAAAACCCTATGAACCACAGTAGTCTGATTCACAACCAATCATGACATGGTGCAGGACCATACAACAGTTTATTCTGTTGATATTATGTCATCATGACCTGGAGGATGGATATTCAGTGGCAAATAACATCAATGTCCTCATTGTGATGAGGGATAGGGGACTGTACTTTCAGACATGGTCAGGAAGTACTTCTGATATGTTGATGGTTAAGGAGAATCTGGGGGAAAAAATGAAAAAAGATGTTATTCAAACATTTAATGGTGTGTTTGTGTGTGTGTGGGAGGGGAGTATTGTAAGTAAAAGAATAGCCATTGCCAAGGCCTTGAAGTGGAAAGTACTTGATATATTTGAGGAATTGTAGGAAACCTGTGGTGCTTGTACTCAGTGTGTTGTTCTGTGTTGATAATTCTTTCTCATACATCCCTCCTATGGTTATTGGCGTGTTTAACTCAAGTACTGGAATCCATGTGGGATTATAGATGATTAGGACTGCATTTTGAGGAATCAATAACTTTAACTTATTATATATAAAGTGTCAGGACCGCTGCGACAGATGTTTCAGTGTATTGTCATTGTTGGGATCCTTGTTGTCTCATTTCTACCCTGGAGGTTTGGAGGTAGAACAAAGAGCTTTCAAATCAAAACTTCCCAATCCTAAATGGAATTGCTTTTGCTGATCCTCTATGCTCTTGGTTGTATATTTGAATAATTCTTGAAAGATATCTTTGGAAAGAAGTTATTTTTATCACACAGCCAGAAGACAACATACATTGCCTACTTTACAAAATCGGATTTCATGTCTGCAGTGTGAAGGCACCTCACAATTTTATTTTTAAGACACAATATAACTCCCATGAGGGTGTTGGAGCTATGGGTGGTAGTAGTGGTGAAGGTGAAAATGGTCACTACATATTGGAGTCCTAGTGTGGCACTGTGGGTTAATGAGCTAGTCTGCAAAGTGCGTTTAAAGCACAAAGTCAGCAGTTCATGCTCACCAGTCGCTCCTTGGAACCCTATACAGGGTCACTAGTGGTTATGAATTCGGCTGCGAACCTTTAGGTCAGCAATTCAAAACTGCCAGAGGTTCCATGGAAGAAAGATGAGGCTTTCTGCTCCCATAAAGATTTACAGCCTCGGAAACCCTGTACAGGGTCGCTATGAGTCGAAACCGACTCCACAGCACATATTCACCACCACCATGCTTCAGAAACAACTGGATGGTACTTTACAACATATGGAAAGAGAGCCATGTACAGCATTCAAAGTACCTTGTATACATTTTCTCTCTTAAGCCTTTAAACCTTCTGAAGTATGAATGTGGTATGAACTCAGTTGAAGGAATTCTGCAGGAGAAGAAGTAGCTTTCGCTCCAGGTTGTCTGGTTTATAGTGTGAGGGAAATCCCAGGATGGTGCACATGGCACCCTTTAACAGAAAGGTTGGAGATTCAAGTTCACTCAGAGGTGCCTTGGAAGAGCACCAATCTACTTTCAAAATATCAGTCATAAAAAATCCTGAGGGAAAGATCTACTCTTGCATACATGGGGTCACCATGTCAGAGGTGACTCAAAAGTAACTTTTGTTGTTGCTGTTAGCTGCCATATCAACTCTATGCAAAAATGAATGAAATACTGCCGTCCTGTGCCACCTTCATGGTTGTTACGTTTGAGCCCATTGCTGCTGCCGCTGTATCAATACATCTTGTTGGGGATCTTCTTCTTTTTTCACTGACCCTCCACTTTTCCATGCATGTTGTCCTTCTCCAAAGTCTGGTACCTCCTGATAAGAGGTCAGAGTACAAGAGATGAAGTCTTGCCATGCTGACTTCTAAGGAACATTCTGGCTATATATATATCTTCCACAACAGATTTGTCTGTTCTTTTGCCAGTCTATGGTGGTAATTTCAATAGACTGCATTAATTTTTCTCTGGTCTTCCTTATTCATTGCCCAATTTCCCCATGCATAGGAGGCAATTGAAAATCCCAATGCTTGGGTCAGGTATATTCTTAGTCCTCAAACTGTAATCTTTGCTCTTGAACATTTTAAGAGGTCTTGTGCAGCAAATTTGTCTAATGCAATGTCATTTGATTTCTTGACTGTTGTTTCCATGAGAGTTGATCTAAGCAAAATGAAGTCTTTGATAACTTCTATCTTTTCTTCATTTATCATGATGCTATTTATTTTGTCCAGTAGTAAGGATTTTTGTTTGCTTAACATTGAAGAGCAATCCATACTGAAGTTTTTCATTTTCATTAAATTATTTCAAGTCCTCTTCACTTCCACCAAGCAAGGTTGTATCATTTGCCTGTGACAAGTTGTTAGTGAATCTTTCTCCAATTCTGATGCCATGTTCGTCTTCATATAATCCAGTTTCTCGGTTTATTTGTTCAGCATACAGACTGAATAAATATGGTGGAAGGGTACGACACTGGTACACACATTTGCTGATTTTAAACCATTCAGTATTCCCTTGTTTTATTGTGGTTGAAGGTAACTTTTTAAATGTTTTAGTTTTTGCAGAAATGTTCATTCTTCCACTAAATTCTGCCCAGACTGATATTTATTCAAATGAATAGTTTTTTTTTTTATTACTCTATCCTTCTTCTGACGCTTTTGCTATTTTTGACATGATACTTGTTGTTCTTGTTAAGTGCCGTCGAGTTGGTTCTGACCCATAGAGACCCTGTATAGGGTTTCCAAGGAGTGACTGGTGAGCTTGAATGGCCTTACCATCAAAGGACTTTGCAGTCTTGTGCATTAAACCACAGCACCACAGCCGTACTCCATAGGATACTGCTTGCTGATTAACTGCCTGGAAGGTATAAGGTTTCCACTTCATTTATGGAGAAAAAAACAAATGAGTTTGTGAATGTTCTTTCTTTCTCTATAGGAGAACCTTACTATGGCCAAATTCACAATCTCTGTACAGAGACAGAGATACAGTCCACAGCAGTTGCCAACGACTTGAAGCCAAGTCATGAAGTCCCGACATTTGTCACAAATTAGAACTGTGCTCCATAGAGTGTCTCAGTGCCTGATATTTTAGGAAGTAAATTACTATGCATTTCTTTCAGGAACCTCTAGGTAGACTTGAACTCCCAACTCTTCAGTTAGCTGCTAAAAGCGTTAACCATTTGCAACATTAGGGGCTCCGATATAACTGTATTTCTGAAATGGAAGTATTTTCACAAGGTTCATTTTTCACATTGTTCTCTAACATATGGCTTTATGAAATAATCTATAGCTAAAAGGGGAAAAACAACGAAAAATATTTAGTGCAGGAAATAAAAAAGTTAACCAAAGTATTTTATTGATATATTCTTAGACAATATCACAGAATTGAAAGAGAATGGAAAGGGGGAGTTTTCAGCAAGGGCCTTTTTTCTTTTTACCACTAAATTGGCACATAAGCAGCAAGATTAACGAAAGTACTTATTACAAACAGTAGAAAACATACATGCTTTTTTTTTTTTTTTTTTTTTTTAAAGTCCTTATCACACTGGTCAGTCATAGGGGGCATGAACAAAACCTCAAGACATGAGAAATCCATATTCTTTTCTTCAGATAGCTTAATAATTATTAAAATTATTGCAAAATAGCCATATACCCTAACTAAAATAACAAAAGAGAACACAAATACAAATATTGAACATAAAGGATTAACATGTACTGTAAAATACAATACAGGCATGCATTCCAAACATCAAGACCTCTATTCAGTTCAGCCAGTATTGTCCTGTTTTGTAACCTATCATTTATCTACCAAAGATAGGTGGGGCAAACTTTCTCAGCACAGTTTTTGGTCTTTAAACATCTTTTTTTTTTTTGTCGTTAAAAAAAAAAAATAGCATGATTTGCAGTGGAATTATAATCATAACTCTATGGTGACGTACAGATGTGTGTGTATTTTGCTTTGCGTTTTTTGTCTGCCAAGTTCTTTTAAAATTTTTATTTATTTTCTCCAAATAGTCCACCATCTGAAAGAATAGGGCTCTATGAAAACAGGGCATTCGAAAACAGACAGTAAACTGAGGTACGACACCAGATGGCAAAATGCAAGAATCCTCACAAACTGTACAGAAAATTTCAAAACCTTGCAGCCTGGAAGTACATACATAGAAAGACAAATCAGCCCCAACACGGTCACCGTGGCTCTCCGGTGGTTCATCCCAAAGAGCCAGAGTGGGACTTGAGTCTCAACACTCCCTTGGGCAGGGAAGGTCCAAAATTGCAGCCGATTTGGCAGTGCTGATGCCAGTGACTTATTAAGCCAAGATAAGTAAGGATATTTCATAAAGCAGCTGTGTAGGACACTTGGATCCTCTAACATTGGTCTCCAGTAACTGCCCAACTGGGGAAACTCCTCCAGTGATGGTAACTGGGCAGGACCAAAAGAGTCCTATGCCAAGTGGGGTGACAGAATAGTTGAAGGTTGTCCTCCTCCATGGTTCCATGGGATGGACCAGGTTAAATAACCAGGTTGTTGTAACTGACATACTTCTTTTTTGCAGCAGGGCCTGAAAGACAAAGGTCAAAGAGTCAGTTGCAGTAATGATCCTACTTGTAAAGTCGGAGTAGAATTAGGATAATCTTGATTTGGGAATAAAGTCAACCTGGGGTGTTGAGCCTTTGAGGAATGTGGAATTCAGGATCAAATCACTCACTGGGGATCTAACTTAGCAAATTTCTTGGCTTCCTTGAATTGAACGGTTTCTAAGGTTTTGTTCATTAAAATCTGTAGTACCCTAGCCATTCTTAGTCTGTGTGGATGCTCTATTCTGAATGTCACCTACCTTCTTTCTTAGGCTTGCTAAGGTTAGTAAATATACCAGTGGTTGTCATGTTTTCTAATTAGTCACGATTACACTGAAAGAGTCCAACCATATTGCAGCATATTGCATTGTATGATCTTCTCAGAACAAAATGGTATTTGTTTGAGCAAAGTTTGTTTTGGGTTATTAGAATTAATTTAGATTGACTACAGATTAGGTCAACCAGAGTGGTTTCTCCAGTTCTAACTCACAAAATCAAATTATTTTGAAGAGACTTTTATAGTAGTATGTTGTTGTTGTTAAGTGCTGTCAAGTCAATTCCGACCCATAGTGACCCTGTAAGGGTTTCCAAGGAGCATCTGGTGAGCTTGAACTGCTGACCTTGCAGTTCAAATGGCTTTACAGTCTGGCGCATTAACCCACAGGGTCACACCAGGACTCTATAGTAGTATACCATCTGTATATTGCGAATGGTAACTTGCAGAACAAGATTCCTTTAAGGTTTGAAATTCACTTAAACTTTGCTATGTGTCTCATCATGCACAAAATACATTTGTTTTTCTTAAATGTGGAATGAATTGCTTTTCCAGTTGGGATTCATCTTTACTCATTCATTCTTTCAACAAATATGTATTGGTTGTCTGCTACATGCCAGGCACTTGGTGATGAGAAAAGTCAACACTTACCCACCCTCAAAAAAAAACACCAAGACCCCAAAATATACATAAATGCTTTATGCTGTATTTCTCTGAAGTATCAATGCCAAATAATACAATTATGGTGACGTGACATGTTCGTTCCTCACTTGATTTCAGTCATTTTGTATCAGCTTATATTGACCTCCAAGAAACAGCCATGTAATATTTACTGTTGGTTCATTTTCAATGGTATTGTTCACTCAACTCAAAGAATTAGCAAGGATTCCCCCAGAAGATTTATTAAAGTCTCAATAACAAGTTTGTATCACAACTTTGAGTAGCACATTGACCATGTTATACATATTTAGATGTCCATGCATACTATACAAAAAGACTGATCTTCTTTTCTGGACTAAAATAAAAACGTGATGTCTGACAAATTGTGATGCAAATACACAGTTCTGAGTTAAATCTCAGGGATATTTATTAATTAAAATTATAGAAAAGTAATAGAATCATATGAAATCGAGAGTCTCAAAAGCTGGTCATTAGACTCTGGTCAGTAAATGATGGGCTTAATGTTACCCAGGTCTTCTAAGAGGATTCCCAGCGTGTGTTGTATCCATTGTCCTCAGCAATGTGCTTGGTCTGGGCACAAGGAGGAAAGTTCTCTGAAAATGTTTGTTTACTATGGATCCTATTTATAGTGTTTTCACTGGACAATCCCAGCTCATGGTGGTAATATTCACAGTCTGCCTTGTCAAATGCCAATGCTCGAAATGATCTTCAGGATAAACCACCAAAACAAAGCAAAACAAGTTTTCATTACCCTCATATTTGAGTCCCTGTCTACTGTATTAACTCTCTAGGAAAAAATAAGTCTAACATTCCAACAGCCGGTTTCTTGAAGAACCAATTGTACAGCAAGAGCCTGTTCTGAAAAGATGCAGGTGGGAGCATTGCATTGCCCCTTTATTGTTCCTGTGAACACTGAAGCTATAATCAAGATGAGGTTCTGTTTGTTCACTTTTTTTGAAACACTAATAATATCAACTCACTACATGCCAGATACTATGAGAAATGCTTCGTATGAGATGCTTCTTGTGTTCTCAAATAACTCTGAGAGAAATAGTATTTTTGATTCCATTTTGCCTAAGAGGAATCTGAGACTCAAAGCTAGGCTGTCCAATGCTTGAGTCTATACTTTTCCTCTCAATGAAGCATAGGAAGACCATATTGGGCTTAGATTCACCTGCCCTGGGTTCCAATGCCACTTCTTCACTTATGCGAGGTGTGATCTAGACCACTCCCATAACATGGAACTTCTCTAAGCTTTGTAAAATGGGGATAATGATTGGCTTCTTGTGGGCTATTGGATGGCACACTTGTATGAAACATCTAGTTTCTCATCTGAGAATAATATAACAAGGTATTTTTAACTTTCAAAACTCTATGCAACTGCCTGCTTTCTCTGCAGAATAGTTTAGGAATATGGTTGTGATTGTGAAGTAGCATCCAGTTGGTTCTGACTCATATATAGGGTTTCCAAGGAGTAGCTGGTGGGTTTGAACTGCTAACCTTATGGTTCGCGGTCCAATGCTAATCCTATGGTAGCAAAATTAAAATGGAATTTGTGTAGGACCTAGAATGACAAGTTATGAACTTTCTAGAGCTGTGTCCTGTGCACCATAATGCTTATTTTTAAACCCTTGTAGCTTTATGAGGTGTCTGATAATCCTATTTATTCAATTAATAATGTAATTTACAGTTCAGGAAAGTAAATCAAGAGTTGGGCAACGAAAACCTTGCAAAAGATAACTGCTTTTTATTTTTTAAATTGTTTTTTTTATTTTTGTCTTATAAACATATAGTTTTTAACGGCAAATAGAAGCAGTATCTGACGTTGCTTAAAGGAATTTCATAGGGTCAGCTACAATGGTAGAACTCAAAACAACATCTCCTTGCTTTCATGATGTTCACAATGAGGTTGGTGTTAAGGACACTGGTTTTCTGAATGAGTTACTAATCCTCCTTTGATACTTAAAAAAATGGGCATTGCAAACTCTTCAGGTCTTAACAAAACCAACAGTCATTGCATTTCTGTAATAAATTCAGTTTTCTCTTTCATTTTATCAGAGCTGTATTTGTCTCACAAAACATTTATCTTTCAAAGCATGCCTATCAAGCACTAGTAAACCAGATTCAAGGAATTCAAGAATAAGATTAAGATTAAACTAATGAAGAAGAAAGAGCATCCTGGGGTTTATGGTGGGGAAACACTGAATTAACATGACGGGCTTCTGAAAATTTGTGGAAACATGGAATTAAAACATAAGATTTTTTCCATGAACTTTTTTGTAAAATTGCAAACTTAAACAGGACTCCACTCTTTAGAAACCTATATACAGTTGTTATGAGTTGGAAACAACTTGGCAGCACTTAATATCAACATCAAATGGAATTCTGTAGTACATTAATTACCTACCAGGAGTTTTGTTAAGTTCTTTATTAAAAATATGTTTGTATGAAAATGTATAAGGGTGAAGCAAAAACTATCCCCCTTTGGGTTATAGTTAAACTCCTGTTGGCTGCACTATTTTATCAGCACTTTCCATTTAAAGACCCTGCTGTGCAAACAAACTCTGAACTGATAACTCAAATGAAGGTAAACATTTCTTAAAAGAAAATTGTTACTGGTGCCGAGACATGGATTCATCACTGTAAGCCTGAGAGTAACCAGCAGAGTACTGAATGGAAACATCCTCAATTGGCGACCATGAAAATGTTCAAAAGTCAACCATCAACCATCAGCTGAAAAATTGATGTTTACAGTTTTCTGGGATTCTCAAGTGTCAGTATTGAAACACTATGAGGGAAAAAGGTTCAACAATCAACAGTATTCTTTATAGTGAGATGCTCATTGGAATGCTAAAATCTTAATTTAGGATTAAACCCAGGAGACTGCTATCCAAGGGCATTGAGATCTTGCATGACAATGGACATCCACATACTTCTGCTCACACTGTTGACACTCTGCAAAAGCTTCCTTTTGAGGTGTCAAAGCATCCCTTTTATAGTATTGATCACACTCTCATCTGTTTGGTTCTCTGAAAGCAACCTTTGGATGAGGAAGCTCCACCTCTGATGAAGAAGTGAAGACCATGAGCATGAGCAGCGCATTGATGGCTCACAGCTCAGTCTAAAACTTTTTTTTTTCATTAGTGAATTTGAAAGCTTGGTGACTGATGGACATAGTGTTGTTTTCTTTCTTTCTTTTTTAAATGTCTTCTTGTGAATTATGTGATAGTTTATATTAGTTTTACATTCATCCTATCATATATCATTTCATTGCC